CTCTCTCTCTCTCTCTTTCTCTCTCTCGACTCTCTTTCTCTCTCTTTCTCTCTCTCGACTCTCTTTCTCTCTTCTTTTTTTTCCTAATTTAAGGTAAGATTGTCAGGCAAATTTATTGTCATTTGATATTTTTCTGTTTCTTTCAAACCTAACTTTGATAAAATACAAAAATTCTCAATATTTTTCTATGATACTTCTAATTACAAATCAATTGTGAGTTTTAGTGTTAAAAAAAAAAAAAGGCTTCCAATTTCCTGTTTGACAAAATACAAATGATTAAGGCAATTTTCATGCATGATTAAATTGGGCATTGTATGAAAAGTTCTCACCTTCATCCACTGCCTAAAATGAGTATTCTGAGGTTTCATCATTGACATATTGAGTGGAGGGTGGGGTGAGAACATTTCAGCATCCCCATGTAAATGTACACTAAGGACATAAAGAATTAAAAAAAAAAAAAAAAAAAATTTTGAAACTTACAAGTTTTTTTTTTTTTTTTTTTTTTTTTTTTTAGTTTTTATTTAACACATATCATTTGCTTTTCTTTCTAGTGTCATCTAAGTAAAATGTGCAGGACACAATTGAAATAAACGATTTGAAAACTCTGATCAGCTCTTTTGGCAGTGGAAATCTTTCCCTGAAGAAATAGTCATAATGTGATTCTTAGACTAGAAAAGGAATCAAAGCTACAGAAGGAAAAAGTCCTTTTTTAATCACCTCCATTGCAATAACCTTTTATTATTTGTTCCAATAGTGAGATGCTTTATGTTGCATAAGGGTTAACATTTCATTGGAAGTTTTTTTTTTTTTTTTTTTTTTATGTATGTATGTGAAATAGTCGGGTAGGTTTTTTTCCTTGTCTACTTAGTTGATTTTTTTTTTGTGCATTCCCTTTCTCGACTAAGGCTGGATCCTAATGAAACAAATTATTTTTATTTGTATTTATTTCTATTAAAGAGCTTTCATTATTAAGGAGAAATCTTTATCATAATGTGAAAATTCAAATTAACAATACAATGAAAGATTTTACAAATCAATCTATAAGTTGTGCTTCTGCTGTTGCCTTATTGGGAATCATGTTAGTCTGATATTGAATCTCTTTATTGCTTATTGTACTTAATTTCAACCAGGTCACTGTATTTTCATCTTGAAGATATTTGTATAAAATGCTACTACTACAATCATAATTGATTTAATTTTAAATCCTAACAGGTAAATTGAAATCTAGACCAATTACCTTTATGGGTAAACCTCACAGACCCACATTTGAACAAGTTTTCTGACTAATCCATGTATTTCCTGCTATATATGTAGGAGTGTCTGCAACAGTTATTGAATCAAGAGATGCTAAAAATGATTTAAAAAAAAAAAAAAAAATTCTGTTAGGTTGTTGATGACTAAACTGCTTCTGCTATCATGGGGCAGTTAGCAACCCTGTTGGAGGTAAAATAAGATCTATGAAATGGCAGGTAATAATGGCTAGCTAACTAGAACTGTCTTGATTAAGCCACCATAGAGAAGGCAACAGGGGAATCAATCCTCTATTCCTCTCGAGAACAATCATGGCAATCCAACACACAAAAATAACACGAAGAAAGTCAGTTTCCTCAGAAAACTAACTTTCCACTTAGTACTTGTCACACAAGTTTCTCCTTATTGTTTCATTATGATCCTGTGACTGTACCCAACAAAGATAAAATTTTAATCAGGACATGGAATACTAAGACAATGTACCCGTGTTAGTAGTCAGGATAAAAAAATTTCGCTTGAAGATGGAACAAAGCTTATTTTAACTCAATTTAATTTAAATAATTATATTCAGCTCTTGTTTTGAAACATGGGACTTCTTATGTCGCGATTTGGAATCATATTTTTAAATAAATAATTATATTTATGCTCTACTTTTGTATTGACCACTATTTTTTAAAAATAATAACTAAAATACTAAGGGACTTTGGATTATTTACCTAACCAGTTCCTTCCTATTTTCTATATATTTTCACATATATATATATATATAGGCTGAATATCAACACTATGATTATTTATCCATCTAGTTTCACATAATGAGGATTATGGAAGCAACAACATAGAGAAATGAAAGAGAAGTCACTCATCTTACTTATAAAACCAGGTTGTGTGTGTGTCTGTACGTTTATATATTGGATCGGATTTCCTACATTTTTCAACTGATTTCAACAAAACTTCACAGGACTACGTAAAATTACCTTGTGGTGGTTATGACAGTGCCAAAAATTGGAAAAAAACAATTTGAAAACACGATAAAACATGTCACCAGAATGAAAGGGGGACAACTCATATTGAGTTATTATAAAACCCAGGTTATTTGTGTGAGTGTGTTCATTTATATATGGGATCTGATTTCCTACATTTTTCAACCGATTTCAACAAAACTTCACTTTTTTTTTTTTTTTTTTTTTTTTTTTTGGCAGGTAGTGTTTCTTATTGTCTTGCACACTTTTTTCTTTCTTTTTACATTCAGAATGCTTTAAAAATTCCATTTACAAGACAATTGTTTATAATAAAATTCTATTCAATCGATAGACTCGTAATGATTGAAAATAATGTTTTGGTTTGGGTTTGACCAATTCATAAAAAAAAGCAAAAAAACTAAGACATGCGTGTCCGTCAACCTTAAACAATCTTTGTCAATTTGATTTTTCAGTCTTTATGATGGTCGATACTGGATCTATCTCTTACTGTTACATCCTCGGGCAACACCGGGCTCTACTGCTGGTATTAGATAAAGACAAGATGAATGTTTCTAGCATCTGATTTCTTCTAGTAAAATTGAAAGGAATTCAATATAGTCATTATTTGTGCCCTAATGTCAAAAAGCATTGAAAAAGAAATTAGTTAAGTTGGATAATACATTAGATGATGCCAAATGTCATTGAAAATTGTTAGAAATTATTATCCTCTTGGTAGAATTAAATACAAAAGTAGGGAAGAATAAGATAGTGAATGAATGCAGAGAAAATGGTTTCAGTGGTGCACAATGAATGACCAAATAATAACCAACACCTGGTTTGAGGAACATGCAAGCGGATGTAGAAAAACCCTGAAGGAGGTATAAATAATCAAACCAGATAAACAACCTAACAATCAGTAAATTATTTAGAAGTGCACTACCACACTCTAAAATATACCCAAGCACTGTGAGAACAACTGCCTCCCAGTTATATGAAAACTAAAAATAAATTTAAAAAAAATTAAAAGCCACATCAAAACTACAGTACAATTAACTCCAGAATAACTCAATTTGTAAACGAACATATACAATTGTAGTTAACAAATATAAAAGCTTAGAAGACAGCAATTCTGTGTCAAAAAAAAGTCCTTTTAATAGAAGAAAAAAAAACAAGTGAATCACATCATAAATGGTCAGTGTAAAAGAGTTCAGCAGATAATGTCAGAGAATGGTACGATATATAGGTTTTTAAGTAGAAATAAATGCATGCAAGTAAAAGACAAATGACTCAATAAGAAGTGTGTAGAGATAGAAACACTAAAGAATATAAGCATAGAAGTCAATAATAAGACAAAAAATAACATGCATAAATATAAAAGGGAGAACACTCTGAAAGAGAAAATATATTCTGGAGATAGAAGAAATGCATTGGAGAGTCCTTCCATTTCAAGAGAAGAGACCTACAAAAGATAAAAATGTAGAAGGAACCATAGTATTAAATTCTGAGTAAGATCAGTAATGAAAAGAAACAAAGCAACAAGACAAGAGTGTAATAGAAATACTAACAACTTCTGTGTTGTGGAAGAGAATAAGACATTAGAACAATAAAAAAAAAAAACAAAAAAAACAGGATTCAGGAAAACAGAAAATTTTGAAGATTGTAGGTGACAGGGAAGCAAAACCAGAAGAGTTCCAAATATGAAGTTCAAGAAAAACTATTAGAATAGAACTTACAGTTACATCTAGCTATTTCAACAGTAAAATGGTGAGACCTATTTGCCAATCTAGTAGTACACTTAAATTTGTGCAGTCAAGGTACCAAGGAGGAGAGATCATTAGAACAATTAGCAATTAGTGGGAGAGTGAGTAAAGTAGCGATGCCAGGTCAGGATCAATAACATTACAGATCCTTTTTTGGGTTTTGTTGAGAATCTTGAAATATATAAACATAGGACTAAATCAGATATTGAAAGATAGTTGAGTAACATCTACTATGAACAGATACCTTGCATGCAAATAAAGAATGAGTTTAGGCAATACAAAAAAAGAGGAACATGACAAGGATGCATTTTCTCTACCTGATTTATTTAACTTATTGATATAATGGAATATGCGTACACCTGTGTTCCCCCTCACTGGAATATGATTGGCTGGTGTCTGTCATAAATACCGATGGACGTGTAGGAGAGTAAGAGCCTTAGTCTGAGAACTAAGTCTATAACGACACCCATTGGGCTATGCCATTGATCTACACTTCTTACCTACGACTACGATGCTACGTCGATTACTGCTACCATATTCTACTTGGTTATAGTAGCCAAAACCACTTAGCTACTTCGTTCAAATATATCCCTTTCCAGGACATATCACTAATAAAGTGAGATGATTCTAAGAACTAGAAGACCTAGCAGGATTTATCAATAGCATGCATAATCTTAACATAAGATATACAGACAAGTGTTAATAGCTCATTAAGAAAGAAATCTGAAAGGACCATTAGACAAGGTAAGAAAGAACTAACCATTAACTGTAACAAGATAGAATGCATGGTTTACAGCAAGAAACTGCTCAAGTTATCTATGTATTAGGGATGTCAGAATCAAGTCTGCAGGAAATTTTGCTATTTGAGAATTGACATAGAAATATAAAGGTTGCATAAGAATAATAAAAGATGTCTTTCAGAAATTAAACAAAGTATTAAAGGATAGGAAAATGTTCTTAGAAACAAAAAGTTCTGGGCTGCTATGTAATATCTAATCTCCGACATGGCAGTAAATCTTGGACAGGCTTATGGCCATATCACATTGAAATATCAGTTCTCCTATGATCACTGAAATTAAGCAACATTAAGCCTAATCAGTACCTAGATGAGTAACCATTTGGGAATACCAGGTGCTGTACATGAAAGATGGTGCAATGGATAACGGATAAGAATTGGAAATCAGAGAGCTGAGTTCAAATACCAGTTGGGTTCATATCATTCACTTAGAAATATCCTTGAGAAAAATAGAAATTCACCTTTTTTTTTTTTTTTTTTTTTTTTTTTTTTTTTTACCTCAGTTATGGATTAAATTAAATCCTTATCTCTAAAAAAAAAAAAAAAAGATTCTTACAATCTAAAATAATAGTTTATAAGTTGTTAAAAAAAAAAAATCAATGAAAAAATCAAAATGTTGCAGTCACAAATGAAGAGGAGACTTGAAGCAGGAGATTTGGTTCTTTTGATGAACTCTGAGAATATCATGGACAAAACATGAGAATTTTAAAGAAAGTAGGAACTATAAGGAATCTGAAACTTATAATCAGAAAGACAGCTGGAATTTCTGGGTCACTTAAATAGGAAAGAGGGCTTAGAGAATTTTGCATTCATAAGCTATTGAAGACAAGAGAAGCAGGTGCAAAACAGCAAATAACCTACATAATGAGTTTGAGTGACTGGATTCAATACAAGTACAATGGGGGATGTTGAAGGAACTAAAATTACTTAGATTATCAATGCACTTCACAATTTCCTGGGTTTTTGTTAGTTTACCTTTTAAAAGAATGGAGAACATAAAAGAATAACACTAATAAAGATAGTAATGATGATATAAAGAGATTAAACAGCTTTGCTTAACATGGTGACTTTTACTGCCTCAAGTTTATTACAAAGTGAATTGGGTGATCCTAGTGAAAAAGGAATGAGTGTATATCTTTCCAGATGCATCTTCTCTGTTCAGAATTTCAATAACTTAGTCATAATTTTTTTTTTTTATTTGGAGATTTTATAGATACGTCAATACAGTCACTTTTTTTCCTTAAAACTCCTGTTTAGAAAGATCTTTGAGTACACACCATCTGAATATCTACACTTTCATATTCAAAAACTGAATCATAACTTTTGCAGAAATCTTAGTCTAAAGATTAGGTTTCTTTTCTTTTACAGAAATTGAAACTATTAGTTATAAGTTTTCAGATTTAATTAAAGTAAGAGTATTTAAAAAAAAAAATCAACTTTTTAGTCTTGTCAATTTGAATCAGATCTGTTTCGCCTACAAATATAAATCTCTAAGTATTTATGAAATTGTTTTAATTCTTTTGTCTTTTTTTTTTTTTTTTTTTTTTTTTTTTTACTGATAATTTGCAGGTAAGAAAGCGAAAACAAACTCAAATCTTTTTTTTTTTTTTTTTTTTTTTTTATTTGGTACAATTATTAAATTTGGGTAAGATGACCTAAAATGAACAGAACATTTAAAATGTGTAACAGTTGTTTGATATTCTTCAAATTTTGTCTTAAGATGACTTATTTAGAATAGTCTTTCTTTTTATGGTTTCAGCTGGTCAGTTCTCCAGCCATCTTCATATATATTGTATCTGTTATATTTTTCTAATATCAGTTGCCTCACTTCTCTACTTTGGAACAATTTCAATTCATCGTTATTTGATTAGTTGAGAAATTGAGAATTAAGAGGCAAGGATGAGTGGGAAATAAATGAATGGATATGATGTATACCTGGAAAAGACTGGTAAACCCACTGACCCAAATTTTGTGATCCAATCAACAAAAATAGCATGTAAAACAAAATATCTCAAGTTAATTTTAGACTTGGAAGATTTTGTTTTATGCAAAATGTTTTTCTATTGAACATTTCCTCATCTTCCTTCCAACACATAAAACAATTAGTTTGCATTTTATACAGGTTGTGTGTATTTTCTTAATTCAGATGATCACTGATTTTCAAAGAGTTAACATGTGTTACATGTTCATTGTAAAATTTTAACATTAGAATTTCTTATTTTTAGGTTTTATCTCTTTTTGTATTCTCTTTGTTTTGGTTAATGATTTTAAATGTTGAACTGAGAGCATTGTAATTTGAATTCTCTATAAGATTAGCTATCATTTGGCACAGAACATATAATTGTAATGTTTATCTGAAACTTCAAATTTGTTCATAATTTTAAACATATTAGTATTTTATTGGTTGATTTACCAATTTTCTTTTTATTTCTGTTCTGGAAATAATAATCTTGCATCATCTGTAAGTCATTATCAAAAATCCAAATATCATCTATTAAAACCATTCTATAATGATGTAGTCTTCAATGAACGGTCATAAATTGTTATATCTTAAATTATGTTTATGATGAAAATTGTATTTTCTTTACGGTTGACAAAATTACTTATGAGAATTTTTTTTTTTCTCTTTAAACTTTTTAATAAATGTTGATTTGTGTGGTTACAAGTCTGATATCATTATTACATTAGCCAATTTGATGGATAAAATGATAATTATACAAATGCTTTTTGACTTGTCCAGTGGCTGAGGCAATTGCATACTTCCCACTTTGCTAATAGTTTGTATTTGGAAAAATCCAGGTTGTTGAATACTGATTTCCCACCCTGTTAGAGAGATCCTCCTGTTTTTGAATGATGCAGCCATCTTTTCTGGAATACGAGCCCCACCCCACTATGAATGGCTTAGAACACTCAGTCAAGTGGGCTGTAAATATTTGCATCTGAAGTGTGGTGTGTTATAATAAAATTTACAAAGTAAGGTCTTCAAAGTAGCCACCCACATGACCAAAAGGGAATAAAATGATAAATGAAAACTTTTGGAGTCAAGTGCTACTTTGTTGGAAGTTACAAATTTCCATTTGCAGGCTTATATAAAGTGGGAGGAGAGAGAAGCTGTCAGTCCAACCAGTCATGACTGTAACATTTGCTCAGTGAAAGTGAATTGACTGAGTGTCACCTACTTACCCTCAGGATGATTCTAGGTCTAACTGGAAACTAGGCCAGTGAATAAAGAACCAAATTATTTGAAATTTCACTTTCCATTCACTTGTGAATGTACAACAGCTTTTCCCAGATTAAAAAATATTGGTTTTAAATTTTATGTGAATTGTATGGATTCGTAAGGGAAGATATTAAAAAATAAAGTCTATTAATAAAGTATTGATGACCATATAGTGAATGCCTCCTTTTGCAATGAATTTGATGTAGAGATAAGTTCTCTTGAGCATTGTGTAAATCTTTAAATAGTTTCAGTTTGCTTTGATGGAATGATAATAGGCATTATTTTAATTTCTCTCTCTCCCTTACTTTGTAAAAAAAAAAAAAAAAACAACTCTCCTCATATCACCAAAACAAGTAAAAAATGAAGACAATATATATTTCTCTTGGTTCTATTCATAAATAATTGTCAACTGCTCAATAGTCAAACACTGCTTTCTGGTGCCTGATTAGTAGGGCATGTTGCAGACCACTGCTGTCAAACTAATAAGACTGTGAAATAATCTGATCCATACTTATACATATCATGACTCTCTCCACAGTTTCCTGTCTCTTGTTGCTCTAAGTAACTATAATACCATTATTACCACTTGTTGTCTTTATGGCAATGTTCTGCTATCTCTTCATTCAGATTCATTAAGTGACCATTTTCCCTTGATTATCTTGCTTTCAATATGTTATGTGAATTATATCCTGAAACTTTTGACTGTCTCTTTCTGATTGTAAGCAGCACTTTCTTGGTACTCATAGCATTCACTAGTAGAACCCCATTTGTTGTTGCAAGTCGCTTTAGCTGTGAGAAAATTGTCCAATGTTGATTACCATATAGAAGATTATACATTGTATAGCAGTCCAGCATAACAACTCGGAAACAGGCTGGCAGGGTGATAGATGTCTTAATTAAGAGCTTACTCTAATTTTGGAAGTATCAGTTGAATAGAGGCAAATGAAGAGTTAGTATTTTAAAGTCTTAGGCACACAGCAATTTAGACTAGGCAACTAAATAGAAGTAATCAATTATTTTTATACATGTACTGCAGATAGGTTTGATCAGAAGTAAGGAATATTTCACTTTTTTATAATTTCTCTCTCACATATATTATTTATTTTTAAGGACTTTTATAAAATCCAATGATAATAATAAAGTCTTGCTAATGTTTTTTACTCACATTTAAATATAAAATATCAAAAGCTATTACTATTGAAGTGAGTTCAATCCCTATTGGGTATCATATTAGGCTAAGTTTGGCCAGTATTTAAAGCAAAAAGATGTAAACAACTTCAACGTTTTTATTCAGTCCCTCTAGAAAGTAATGTTTAAATATACATTTCATAATTTTAAACACGAAGAGACTGCCCACATCTGTCCTAAAGTTTACATTTATTAAGATTATGTAAACAATACGCTTTTGACAAAATGAGTCTTAATATTGCCACCAATATAACGAAAACTGAATATCTTTAGTATGCATAAGTTGTAAGTAACTGAAGATGGTTAGCACCCAACTTTAAGATAAAATGATTTTTCCTGTAAGGAATTGGAAAATTCTTCCCTGGTGTTGGCTTGAAGTTTGAGACAAAACTACTGTTATGTCTAATACAATTTTCATAATTTGCACTGAGAAAAGGTGTGCTCATTCTAATTGATTTAGTAGTGTAAACCTGATGAGGAAATGTTTAGAAAGTGTCATGAAATGATGGGTTCAGCTTATTTCACTTGAACTTAACCCTATAATGATCAACTTCACTTAAATTAACCCTATAATTACCAAGTAATATAATGACCCAAATCATCTTCAATTATTTTTTATAGAAATAATCATCCTGATTTAAATTGTTTTAATCTGAGATCAGTACTAAAATAATTTACAATGAATAGAAATTACTTATTTCTGTTTTTTGTGTGTGCATATTCAAATGCACACATGCACATTAAAGATTTTCATCATTTTAGTTATTCAGTAAGGATTGAAATCTATCAGGAATTTGAATCATGTATCAAAATAGGTATTCATTTCATTTGTTGTAAGAAGCAAACATTTCAATACAGAATCCAATTCACTATCAACAACTAAACTGTTTTTGTTTTCATTCCTAGACTACATTTTCTTGCTCACAATTTATAAA